AATCGGGCCTGTAGTCGTATTTACAGGGAAAAGCACGGAATACGGATGCTCCAGATGGAGTGCAGAACAGGAAAATGCGTGAAATAGGTTGCTGCACATCCCTGTGCTCAATCCCTAAACCGCCAAGCGACTGTGGGAAGTGTCATCCTACGCACAACTGCAAGGCCGCACCCTAACGCGTAAGCCCAAGCCTCAAAGCTTCACCCAGCAGCTAAACCCTAAGACCCTAAGAAGCACAGCTGCTGGGAAAAACACGCGAAAGCCCAAAGCCCAGGCCTCCCAGAGTGAGCGAACAGCTCCAGCCCTGCGCGGGCAGAGCGCCACGGCCAGCCCGGTTGATTTCCTTCCCCCCACGGGCAACTCCAAATACGGCAGTGATCCTCTAACATCCAGGACTCCGGAAGCTTCGACGTTCTTAGCTCTTGCTCGTAGAAGTGTGTGCTGGACACAGTCCGGGGGCACAAGTGCAGATAAGAATATTCCAGTCGGCACCCTTAGGATGCATGTGGCTTTGCATGGGTTCAAGAACAGACACTGAAGCCCCCAGAGTGGAGGGCTGTCAGCTGATGGCAAGAGAGGTCGTAAATTCCTACTGCAGGGTGTTCGGAGTAGATGGAAGAGGATGACGTTCAGCGGTCGATACACATATACAGCTGCATGCAACCCGTTTTCTTTGTGGCATGCAGGGTCAGCCGGCCTTGTTTGGGACGAGGGTCCACGATGAGACATTTGGATGCAAGTGCGCCAGGCATCTAGCACTGCCACTGGACAGAGCTTTCTTAATGCTGCGGGCGCCGGAGTGCCCAGCTGTGGGTCCAGAATGCTGTTTTGAAGTAGTCTGCGTTTCATGCTGCGCCACATTTGACATCCCGGTGCTGCGGCTTTTTCGTTCCCGCTGCAGCATGCCATTGCTTTTGTCAGTGCTGCGAGTGAATAGAGTTCCTTCAGTCCAGTCAGATTCACTAAAGGGATTTCCGTTGCTTCCCTCAGCCGTCACGTGGATAGGTGCTCATTTCGCCAGTCTCAGGAGGCACCTAAAAGAATCCAGCAAGCCCCTGCTCCATTCTACAGCCAGGCCGCATGACTTCACCACCGTTTACTGCGGCTCAAGAGCCTAATGAACTTTCGAGCTCCTGCGAACTCTGATGAGGTCGCAAGAGGCAGTAGGCCCCGTAAGAATCACTAGAGCCCGTGTCGGCCTTGAATCAAGCCGCAAATCCGAGCACAACAAGCTTTCAAGGAACCGAAGTGCTGCGCAGGATGATTTGATCATGCCTTCTCTTTCGGCATCTACGAAAGCGTCATTGTAAGCCGTGCTTTGTTCCATGCCTTTTCTGCAGACTCGCCTACCCAGGTGGCCCTCGGCGGCTCAGCAGCCGCAGTGGCAGCCAGGAGGCTGCGGAAGGCCCAGCCTTCGTGGAGACAGAGTGAGCTCGAAGATGTCATGGGGAAGGGTTTGAAGTTTTGTAAACTTATCTGGTGACGCCGCCTTGACAGCGATTGTGGTGTTAGATACGGCTTGTTACAGCGCAGAATCACCCTCCATTTTCTATGGGGTTCTAGCGTTTGGTGCTCTGGGGCAGGGCTCTAGACTTTAGCTTCAATAGTGTGGGCTTTGCCTGGATTGCACTGCAGCATGAGATGTGGTAGCTCTGGGGATAAATCTGGCCCTGGGCCTGTTGGGGTTTCTGCTTTGGGATTCAAGGCTCCTTCTTGGGGTCCGATTTCGCGGCTTCATTCTGTGGGGCTCCCCAGTTCGACGACTTGTTCGGAGGTCTCGAAAACCTACGAATCACTCGGTTCGACCAATTGCAACCAAACGGACACAATTGTCTGCCGCTTTCTCTGCTGTTTTCGGAGAATCTTGAGCCTGTTTTGAAAGTCTTCTTTTAGCCTACACCAGATGTGCATCCCTGACAGGAGACGACTGCCTCGCAGAGCCGGGATTCCCAGCACGTGGGGTTTTGATGGCTCCAGATTTTGGAGTGGTCCATAGTGGTCCCTTCCTACTTTCGCCGGCTTATTTCTATATTGCTTGCACTCGGCATCGCGGCTGTAAAATGTCGTCGTTCGTCGTCGAGTGGCCGCTAATCGTGGTCGTCGTGGTGGGTTGTCCTCATCATCGTCGTCGTTGTAAAGAATTGTGATCGTTATGGGTTTTGCGATGGCTGTTGTTGTCGTTGTGCTCCTTTCATGATGCTGAGCTTGATGCTGTGGCAGGGCCAATGCCATCCAAGTTTTTCCCATAAGCAAGGACATGTGAAAGTGTCTGCTCGCCCCCAAAACCCCAGCATGCTGTGCAGATGCGAGAGACTTGCGACAGGGACGGTCGTCTGCGCCTTCGAGAATGAGCTCGGGGTGCAAGCGTCCGTGTGCCCAGAATTTAGCAGGGTCAAGCTGGGCCTGTGAGGAGACAGGTGTGAGCGGTGTCTCTTGCACGAGCTCCAGCCTTCAAGCGCACCGAGCGGGCCTGTTCAGGGGCCAAGGGGCTCCCAGTATGCAGCTCCATGGCACTTAGAAGACCCCATGGCCCGTCAGCCTCCTATGTTGACCATGGGACCTCGGAAGCCAAGAAGTCTGACGCCGGACCTTCCAAGCCCCAGGCCAGTCGGATTCTGGGATCCTGCAGGCAGGATTCCGATTTGCCGAAGCGTTCGGTCGCTTCTGCAAGGGCTCCGGTTGCTTAGGGTGGCGCGGCTTGAGGTGTGCGGTGTATGTGCGTGCAGACTCCCTCCAAGCACGACGTTGGACATCCCAGAACCCCCTGTGAGGCTCCGACTCTTGCCTACCGCCTCTCAGAAGTCCCTGTAAGCTAAGCTGCTGGTGGCAGGCTTCACCACCGATGGCGATTCAAAGGACGAGGGTTTCAGGATAATAGGTTTTGGGGTGAAGCTTTGAGGTTCATGTGGTGGTGTTCAAGGCCACGCACTTCGCATTCACCTTTGCTTCGGTTCGTGGGTTCTAGGCTCAGGGTTCAGGGCCGGGGTTTAGGAGATCAGAGTAGTTCAGCAAGTTTGTCGAGCCGTTGAAGCCTCTTTGTTGCTCGGCTTGATTTATCGGGATAGCCGGTGTTCGTAATCCTCCAAGCAGTTGCGAGATTCCGGGAGGCTTTGGGCAACCGGCAAAAAAGGCCTTGGATCGCAAGCCCTGATGCCAAAGCTCGCTTGCCTGCTACGGAAGTCGAGGAGTTCTTCCGACGCCGAGTCGTCGAGCTCAAGCACGGCCGCGTGTCGATGTTGGTGCCTCGACCGCCAAGCACAGCTCTACTTAGGCAAAGCACCGGTTCTACAGCCAAAGAAAGCAGTGCCCCTTTTCACAAAGCCTTGCTCCATCTCACGCTCTCGATGCATGGCCCTGTCAAGCCCCACGCAGAATTTTGGGATCTCAATCCAAGCCTCAAGCGCTTGAAATTCAGAACATACTCGACACTTTTCAAGAAGATCCAGCTTCTTTCAAGGCCAGGACTACTGAGAGCAGCAACTTCTTGTGCCCCTAATTCCTTCAGAAGTCCGTTTGCCTTCTCCTGCCTTTTGCTGCCGTTTCCACTCGTGTTGCCAGTTGCAATCAGCGTCGTCGTCATCGTCATCCCTATCCCCCTCCCCCTCCTCTTCCTGCTCCTCATCCTAATCCTCATCCTCATCCTCATCCTCATCATCGTCATCGTCATCGTCATCTTCATCTTCATCATCACCACCATCATCATCATGATCATGATGATGATCACCATCATCAGCATCAGCACCATCTTCACATCATCATATTCATCATAAGCTTCATTTCTTCCTCATCATCATCATCATCATCACCACATCATCACCATGACCATCGCAGCACTCGTGTCATGAAGCCGCGGTGCCCTCAGCAAGTTGTCACAACTTGAACAGCCACGGCAGGCCTGCACCGGATACATCATTCAGGAGTTCGCACGGACACCTAGAAAGTTTGGGTGTCTGGGGTGGGAGTGAGCTCAGGGGATCGTCACTTCACGTGCGTCTGTGTTTGCAGGATGTACTGTGTAGCAGTGTAGCGTCGCTCTGCCGCCGAGGGTCGTTTAAGGGGTTGTGGGTTTTGGATGTGAGGCTCTGTGGCTTGAAGCGAGGTTCGGCTTTCTTGTTGGAGAACTCCAACTTGCTGACTTTGGTATTTTTGGCTTTGCCTTCAAAGTCAGTCGCTGGAGTATCTTTTGAACCAATCCTCTCGGCCATTGAACCGTACACCTTGCGCGTGAGTGGGGTGCCTCGCGCTGCTCTTGAAGATGCGCCCAAACCCCTAAAACAAAAGACCCAAAACCCCCGAACCGCGACAATTCCGAGCGGTTTTCGCCTCAGTTCCGCTTTCCCGGCTACCTGTCGCCCTCCTCAGAGATCAAGTTCGCGGATGCCGGGACCTTTGGGGTGAGGATCGGATCTTCCCGGTCAGGGTCTTCGCTTTATGCCTCCTTGCGCGGCTTGGGCCCAGATTAGTCCGGACCGTGGCAGTCATGCAGGATTTCTCAGAGTATGGCCCCAGCTTTGACAACTCTATCCTTGGCGATGACGCCTGCAACCCCAATTCCAAGATGCAAAAGCCTTCTGAGCTCTTGGACCGCTTAACCCCTCCGAGATTCCCAACGGCCTCGCCGCTGTGACCAAGGCCGAAGCATTTCTGCTACTCGTTGTTTTTGCTAGCATGATGCTGCCGTGATGCTGACCACGATTTCATGAGGATGGCGACTTGCAGACGGAGATGATCGATACCTTTCTTGCTGTTGCATAGTGACATAGTGTTTAGGAACCTCGCAGGCTCAAGCTGCTCTTCGTGTGAGTGTCTCGTTCATAGCGGTGATTCCAGAAGTGAGGGTGGACACTTTTACTGTTGGTTGACGGGTTCAATCCGTCGTCGAGCAGCCATCCTCATGAATGCCTACATGTTTTGGCAGCGACATTGCAAAGGTGTAGTCAACACCAGGCGTGGTTTGACATCGGAACGGCACCGGTCTTTCTGGTTCTTTTCTGAAAGCCATGGGCTGCTGTGAAAGTTGCCAGATCGATGAGAATGAATGGACAGATGAGGGAAACACTGCCCTCTCCTACGCGCAGGACTTCAACCATAGTGAGGTTGTGGAAAAGTTCACCGCAGCAGGGGCCAATGATGAAGAAGAGGAGGAAGAAGACTCCGCAACCAAAAGCCGTAAGAAGCGGGTGAGGACTGAGACTGTCAACCAGGCTGACCTTGAAGTTGCGGCTGCAATGGCCGTGCTGGACGACGAGCTCTCTGAAGAGGAACAGCGCCGCAATGCCGCGGTTGGCCAGATCCGAGAGGTGCAGGAGGGTGCGACTCTGGCACGAGATCTGGAGGAATTTGAAGAGGATGGTCTTGGCTTGGCGCGACTCCAACCAGAGCTCATGATGCAAATGTCCGAGTTTCTTTCCGTGAAGGATTCTTTGGTCTTACAGGCCGCCTTCGTGACGGCTGCTCAGCAGGCTTTTGGGTGCTTGGTCTCCGGAAGGCTTGGCCATGAAGCGCAGGCGCCTGACCCCGCAAACCGGGTAAAAGCGTACAACCTGGTGGGTGGAATGTACTTCTACAATGCGACTGGATCTGTCTTTGATGGTTGGATCGAGTGCTGGTTCGCGTATACGGATTTGACACGCTGGTGCCAGAGATTGCACGCCAGAGTGGAAGTAAACCCAGAGGGGCGGAAGCTGCAGGAACGCACGCGGCGACTGCATCGCCGCCTGAGCTGCTTGCAAGTCGTGAAGGCCCGAAGGGAAGAACCCTTCAGATTTGCAGCGCCCGGTCTTTCTTGAGACATTGCGAACTGCAGATTCAAACGAACTTGCTCGATCGGATTGGGAGGAACTTCGCGTGTCAATTGCCAGATATACAGCTGGGCCGCTACCTTGTAGACCGACCCAGCAGCAACATGATTTTGTGCAAACTTGGTTCACGCCAGGGTTAAGGCCCAGTTAGGGCTTCATCTTGTTCTACAATCATGGCTGCTGCTTTTCCACTGCCTGCGGCTACTGCGCTGCAACGGACGTGCTTGTTGTTGTTGCTGCTGCTGCCGATGCTTCTGCTGCTGCTGCTGCTGCTGCTTGCAGCACGAGTGGCTGTTCTCTTCCGGGCAGGTCCCCGCCGTTGGCTGGCCAGGGCCCGACGGTGCATGGGTTCATGGGTGAAGGGCGCAGGCTGAGCCTTCCTCCACGTTTGCCCGACATCCCAAAACTTCAATCTCCTAAAACACCAGTCTCAAGAAGAGGCTGAAGGAGCTTCCAACAGCACGCTAGCCATGGAAGTAAACCCGGAAGCTGAAACCGCTGTGTGCTGGCTGCTGACAGCCATGTACCAACTTACGAATCAGTTTTTCCTGTATCAAGAAACAGACAGGATTTCGCAAACGTCAAATCGCACCTACCTGAATGAGAACTAACTATAGAGGTTCCAGTACACCGTCTTCTGCGGCCTCTGCGACCTCTGGTTCGCCAACCAGGCTCTGCCAAAGTCAGCAAAGAGGATTCAGGTTTTGGCGAGTCGTCCCTGCAACTCCGATTGAATTTGCGGATAAGACCTGCCCACCCTGTTTCTCGTGTTCTGGTTTGGCGCATGCCTTCTACTGAATTACCTTGGAAACCGAGCCCAAAACCCCAAATCCTAAAACGGGCTCTGAACCCCTCCCCGGCCCCAAACCAGGCGGCGAGCAACCCCCCGGGCAAGCTGGGCACGCGGCTCTGGGGTCGCTTGCCTCGCAGGGAGTGGGTCCGCGGCGAAACCAAGAGATAAACAAGCTTCAGGTAGAGATATGGATGATGATGATATGCGTATAATGAGACGGTACAGATGTAGATACGGATACCGATACGGATATAGATATGATATAGATGTAGTGGTAGATGTAGGTGTAGGTATAGACATAGGACATAGATAAAGGTATAGAAGTAGTTATAGATACAGATATATGTGTGCAGGCAGACAGACAGACAAATACACACATGCACGCGGATGTACATATACACACACAAACATTATGTCCATGGAAAAAGTATGGAGCCTGCAAGCCCCTCCATAGATAGAAAGACAAATATATTCAGGCACACATGTTGATATGTATGTAAGTATGCATGTATGCATGTATGCATGTATGCATGTATACATGTATGAATGTATGCATGTAGGCATGCATGCGTGCATGTATGTATGTATGTATGTATGTATGTATGTATGTATGTATGTGTGTGCGTATGTATGTACGTATATATGTATACCAAGCATGCAACCGTGAGTTGGACGCATCGTGAGACCTCCTCGGGGCATCGGAAGAACTGTGTACGTGTATGTGCAGGTCTGTATGTCTGCATGCCGGTAAGCTGTAGATATGCATGTTATATACCTATATATATATATATATATATACATGTATAGATGACGTGTGAATGTGTTAATAAGATGTATTCATACAAGTACATGTTAACGTGTAGTACATTAACATATTCATGTGTTGGTACATTGATACACACATGTATATCGATATACACATGTATGTATGTACATTTATATGCACATGTATATGTATTTGTATATACATGTACACATGCACGCAACACATTTGCACATGTATACATATACATACACATGTACGCAGCTCCCCCCCTCCCTCCCTCTCTCTCTCCCTCTCTCCCTCTCGCTCTCTTGCCGTGTCTCAGAATAGAAGGTTCGTTGGTAGGATTGGGTTGTACTTGCCTCCAGCCAGGGAGAATTCCAGGAGTTGCCAACTCGAGATCCTACGACCTAAGCTCGAAACACTGGTTGCTTATTTGGATCGGGAAGCCTTCGAGTGCAAGCCTCTCCAGGTGAGGGAGCCACCAACTACGAGTACGGCTTCCTCGGTCTGCCGGGGTCACAGGGCTGCCAGTGCCCAGCAGCCTTCCTAGCCCGAAGGTTGAGTTAAGGGCTGAGGTGTTTGTGTTCGTGTGTGTGTGTGTGTGTTTGTACTGCTGGTGTGAACATCACAATATTAAAATCCAGGGCGCGTGCAGGCAACACCTTTGCTGCAATTTGGCACAAATCGCCTCAAGCGATAGACGCACGACACCGCATACCCCACACACGCAGAGCTCCTGAACAAGTCTCTTGAGGCATCACACCATGCAAGAGCCGTTCAAACCCTTTTTGTCACGGGGCTATGCAGGGAACGCATTGGTTTCTGCTGGTAGCATGCATCTCCAGAGGGGGGACATCTTGTTCCTACAGTATGATTTTGATAATGATTGTTGGCGGCGTATGGCTGTCATGTTTAATTATTCGCTCATGCGAAACAGGTTTTTCCTTCCTACACTTCACTCTCAACTCTCCTCCTCCTCCTCCTCGTCCTCCTCCTCTCGTGCCGTTATCATCTATCCTGGTTTCAATGATGTGGGTCGATGGCTACGGCGTGCTCCAAACCATTCTCCGAAAGTGTGCTGCAGATGCATCCATCCTGCAACAAGCTCGAACTTAATTCGTAGTCCTAAATCCGCACGGGCCTCGAGATTTGTTCTATTCTTTTCTGTTGGTTTTGCTCTAAACCACGTGTGCGGTACCCTCATGTGAACCTTGGTCCTGATGCTAGCTGCAGCTTTTGTACACTGGGAAAGAAGCCCCAACACTCTCTTACTAAGTGCCTGGCGAAAGCCCTAAACAAAAATGACCTAAAGCAACAACAAAGTTCAGTCTCTGGACCCTTGCTGTTCAGGTCGGTACTCTGGCCTTTGGGAATACTGCTTCTAAACACTGAACGCTAACCACCGATGGGGACAGAACCGTTGGCTGTCGCCCTGAAACTCTGAGCCATGCCCGGGGATGGCCGAAGTGCTGCTGTCACAAAAGGCCCGCACGGTTTTCGAGGTTTCAGTGTTCAGGACAGTTGGGGGTTCAGGGTTGAACAGGTTGGTATATGCAGGCAGGGTGTAGGGCTTGTAGGGTGTTCATCAAGGATTCAGGTGTTAGGCCATTGGAGTGAGTTCGGCTTTCACCAGACTTTGGGTCGAGCGTTTTGGGGCATACGTGATCGGCTTCAGGTTGGATCCACCCAATCCACCCATAGCCTGAAAACACCGCAAGGCAGGTAAGGATCACACAAACCTAATCTGCACACGTTGTTTTGATATTCACGAGAGGATGGTGACAGCAATAGGCATGAACATAATAGCAACAAAAGCCGTAGCATCCTGTAGACACAGCCACGATCAGAAAGACATAAAAAGCGGCACCCGTAGTACTACCTCGTAGGGGTTTGTCGTGGTCATAGAGTGCAACAGTAAACCCGCAAGGCAGAAAGACGATGCCCCCTCTTCTTTTATGAAGAGCGACCCCACGCATCAAGGCGCGCTTGCTGCCGGGGTGTGTGGCCGCTGCTGCCCGGGAAGAGCGATGGCAGGCCCTGGCCCGGAGTGATGGGACATGGAGGGTTTAGTGATTCGTGCTTTCAGGTTTCAGCCGCAGGGGTTGAGAGATTCTGGTGGAGGGCTTGAGGGCGCTTGTTTCTGCTCTCGGTCCTGCAACTTGACGGGCCTTGGCCGTCGGGGCACATAGTTCGCAATTGTTTCTGCCAGCATGTACATTCCGCTTGACGTACATCTTGGGCCTGCTCCTCTAGTTCTATCGCACTACAAGCATGTATGACGGAGTAGGCACAACGGTGGCTTGCAGTGGTGCTTACTGCACAGCGACAGGCCGCATAATATGCCGGATCCTGCGCCCTCTAGACTCTTTCCTCTAGGTTTCACCAAGGAGCCACACGAAGCGGATGCCTGGGCACAGTCCCACCGTCAGCCCTCTGTCATACAACTTGCGAAACGGGCCTTCGAACCCCAACCTTGCACCTTCAGCGCTGAAAATCGTAGCCCCGACCGACGCGGCACAGGAGGCACTCCTGCTGCACCGTCGCAGCAAACAGGCGTAGCTCACTCAAGGGTGTTGTTTTTCCGTGCGGCTTTGACACTAGAGCCCGAAGGCTAGAGATTTCCGTCCTTGAGGGAGGTTCAGGATGATGGGTCTTCGGAGTTTTGACTGCTTACGGCTTGAACAGAGTGCACGTAGGACTCGCACTTTGAGGGTTTGCAGCCAACGTATGTCCAGGCATGCTCACTGCTGGTAATGTCATAGTGCCAGGGTTCAGGACCGAGGGCTCACGGTGAGGATTCACGTCGATGGCGGCTTTTTATGCTTTGTTGTCCCTCCTGCGATCTCAAGCTTGAACCCCGACAGCCGACCAAGACCTTGAGACCCAAAAAAACCATTGCCAGGCGCGACGTGTCGTATTTGAGCTCTCGTCCTGGGTCGAATCACATAACACTTCTTGGATGGCTCTGCGCCTGGAAAGCTCTCCGGTAAAGTAAAGCAGCTTTCGCCTGTAAGATGCCTGGCCTAGACCAAGAGCTAAGCTGCTAAGTAAGCAGCATCCTCCAAAGTCACGACAGCATCAAAGGTTCGAGGAAGGTCGGAGGGGAGTCTTGCAGCCTGGCGTAGTCGGGTACTCTGCAGCCATCGGCGCGTGTTCCTTGGCGGACAGGGCTTCCAGGAGGGGCCTGTCTTCAGGGCATGAGGACGGGGTTGAAGATTTTGGTGTTCGCACGCAAAAACCAATACATGTGAAGCTCAACAAAGCCCGCGAGCAGCCCTCGAGCACCTCACCTTTGTTATGTTGAACCCCTCCAGTTTTGTAGCATAAAAACAGAAGCCCTGTGAAGCCATCGAGGTGCCAAAGGCAAGAACTGGGAATTAGCTTTGGCCTACCTCTCGGCGCTGGTGCAAGCCGCCCTGGAGGCGCACCGCCTCGTTTCTCGTGGCCTCAACAAACGAACACCTCGCAGTACCTTGCAGTCTGAAAAAATCCGTATCGGTCCTTGACCGACACTGAGTGAAAAACCGCATAGCCCCAAACCAGCCTCATCTGTTCCAGAGGCAAACGAAGTCTCCTACAACACCGCCATCAGCGCTTGCGAGAAGGGAGCGCGCTGGGAGCAAGCGCCACGGCGATCATTCTGTTCTTCTTGTTGGCTTTGGGTTCGTCAGCTGCGTGCGCTGCCGCCTTTGTCGTTTGTGCAAAGGGGGTGAATGGTGGTTCCCAGGTAGTCACTCGCAACGCTCATGCAGTGTTGACTTCTGGTAGGGATGCAGCGGCAATCTAAGAATTGATGGGCCCACAGGTCTTCAGAGTTCAGCTGGGGGACCGCTCCGGAATTCACTTTAGCATCCGGCCCGAGCCCCACGACCTGCCGCCACCCCCACAACGACAGGAAAAAGAGCAACTCAGCATCCAGCTTTTTTAAGGATTCAGGGGCCGAAACACCGCTGTCAGGCTCTGGCGCTGTTCGCAGAAGCTCGCCAATCGCAGATGAGAAAGGATGCACCTTGCTTCGACACCGGGGTCATTCTCGGATTGAGTGCAATTGTTCGTTTGAAAGTCTGTGCCTTGAGCTTATAAACTCAAACCTGTCCTGCGGGCTTCTCGCTAGAATCACAATGCAGCGCCACGAGCTGAATAAGAGTTCTTCGATATTGTTAAGAATGCTCTGCCGCAAAGTTGTAGCATGAAGGCTTTTTGAGCCTGTGAAGGGTGCAGCTTCTAGTAGTGGCTGTGACAACGTTGGATCGCTGTACCGTATCCCATGTTCGAGCATTCAAACCTCCTCTATGCGTGAACCCCAAGCGATTTGTAGATTGCAACCAATCCGCCATTTCTCCAAGTGATACACCTCGTGACTTACTAAGACGATCACCTTCAATGCTGCTATCAGTGCCTGCGAAAAGTGTGGGCAGTGGCAGCACGCGCTTGCCCTCCTGCGAGCACTTGCGGAGGTCCGCTAGACATTGGGCTCGCAAACATGGGGCGCTGCATAGAATCGCCGGTGGCAACCACGACGATGAGGGTTCGGGTTATGTAAGGAGTTAAGGATTGATGATTTTGTCTTGAGGCCAGCGCTCAAGGTCAGCGATTCACGATGTGACTGGTGTCCGTTAAAGCTTTGCGGTCTGTGCGCTTTTTGTGTAAATCCTTGGGGACAACAGCCTTGATTCTACCCCCAGGCTTGCAAAGTAAACCTCGAAACCGACCCAGCTGTGAAGCCCCGGAACCCAAACCCCCCAACGACCTCCCCGAGTGTTTTTCAGAGGCTCACCTGGAAAAGACGACCATCGCCTTCAATGCCGCACTCAGTGCCTGTGGGCGAGGCGGGGAAAGGGAGAGTTCAGGAGGGCTCAGCTTCTCGACTATACGGGGTTCAGGAAACCGGCACTCCGGCGCCTCCCCAGACCTCCGGCCTTCAGCTCCCCCAGTCCCCTAGCCTGAAAGCTTACTATATCCCAAACCTGCTGAATCTCATTTTCGGTTTTTGTCGCGACACTTGTCCCACGAAGGCAGCGCCTGGCCTTGTGCGGTAGCGCTGCTGGCAGAGCTCCAGGCAAGCAGTCCAGCAAGGGCTCCGCATCAACGCCGAAATCCGAAAGTTGATGCAAAATTCGCACCTGACCATGCGCTGTGCACTGGCTCCAGCCTTTTCCGCTGAGCTCGTATAGCAGCCACTTCGTGCAGTACGCAGCTTGGGGGACCGGATGCAAAACGCAAACTCCGAGAGCAGCCGGGCCCTCCGCAAGAGCAAGCTCCTTCTTTGGCCCCGCGAGGCAAGTCAGGTGCAAGCTTCCGAAGCCACCCACACGGCGGCCATCACCGCCTGCGAGCGCGGCGGAGAGTGGCAGCAGGAGCCTCGCTTGCCAGAAGCCGCAGTTGACAATTGAGTTCCGGGACTCGGGCTTTCTTATTGTGCCGTTGTGGAGGGTGTGAGCTTGCTGACAGGATGCGGTTTGCATCGGGACCAACCCGGCCCCGAAACTGTCATCGACCCCTCGAATGGCTGCGAAATGGCACTCAGGCTAAGTTTCAGTTAACAGCTAGTGAGTTCATCGCTTTTGAAACTTTTCAAGATCTGAGAGTATTAGAGTACGAGTGGCAGCAGGAGGAGGGGGAGTCGTTGTTGTATCGTCGTGGTAGTCGTGGTCGTGTTGGTGGCAAGAGTTTAAGCGGAATTGGCGTTTTTGTCGGAGCTGTAGCCCTTAACCTCTCAGCCGCGCACGCGAAGCGAAGTGCGGAACCTACGGGCCCCGAATCGCGTCCGAGTAAGCCGCGTTGGTACAGCTTTGCACAGGCCCTAGCAGCCTTCGAGACTCTCCGGGGTGAGGCCACAGGGCTCCGGGTCGAAATCTGTCGGGGTCTGGGGTATCAGTGGATTTGTAGCCTTGCTTTGCATAAGGTGCGCAGGATGTCGATGCGTCTACAGCCTATGGGTTCTTGTGGACTTATACTCCAGTTTCGCCTTTTCGTTTCTTCGGAGACTCCGAGGGGCCAGCCGATTGGCAGGGGCAGGTCGGGACCCTGAAGGCCAACCACTTGAACATAGGCAACATCCTCTCCAGAAGTGACCGCTAGCAGGGTAGACTGGGCCCCAAAGCCATGGATGCCTCAGTCAGCAACATACAAAAAGTAGATTTATGGTAGGGTGCGCGTTCTCCTATTCTCCCCACACCCACATCGGCACGGACAGGCGCGGCTCCTTCCTGGAGCCGTGGTGTCCGCGGCTGCGCGGGCGGAGCACTGGGAGGCCTCGTGCAAGGGCTGAGAGGGTTTGGTTTGTTTAGGAGTTTAGGCTGATTTCGAATACATAGGTCCATAGTACAAGGCTATTTGGTTACTTAGGACTCTAAGCCTCAAGTTTTTCAGGGTCCAGGTCTGGGGTTTAGACGGTCTAGACAGGCAGGGTCCTGAAAGACGGTCGAGCATGTGTTCGAATTTCGGGTCGTTGGTCTTGGGATTCATTGGTTCAGTGGCGCCTTGCGTTGACCCTTTTTTGCGGGTTGGTGGCTTGAGGGCTTCTTTAACGTTTGCCGGCTTGAATCCCTGGACAGGCGGCCATCCTCCTGCAGCGAAGCCGCAAGAAGGATCGGGCAGGCTATCCTTTTGGGTTTCGAAGCCTGAACCTGGAACGGAGGCGAGCCGAGAGGCTTCCCAAATTCATGGGCTTTCGGGCCAGAGCCTCTTCCAGCTTGACAACTGTGCCCCGAAGCCTTGCAGACAGACGCCAATACCACCCTTTCTGAATGTTATGAAATTGGATTTTGGACTCCAACTATATGCTTGAGATTCCTCGTTGCAGTACGAAGGTTCGAGGAAGGATTGGCTTCAGCCTTACAGCCGAACCTCATCTCCTACACCGCGGCCATTGGCGCCTGCGCCACGGCGTTGCAGTATGGTGTCTTTTGAATTCGTCTCTTCCTCCAGCGGCCCCGTGATCCCGAGGCAGCAGAGGGTTCAGGGTTTGATTGAAGCCCATGTGGGTGTTGTTTTTGGGCTTTCGAATCTCCACGCGTCTCAAGCCCCTATACTATACTTTGCTCAGGCCTTGGGTCCGGGGTGAACGTAACGATCAAAAGCCCGCTGTGCAGCTCAAGTATCATCGCTATCACGGCCAAGCCATTACCATGAGCCCCCCCCTCACCATCAGCTCCAACGCCGATGCAGCTGGACCACCATCGTCCTCGGCCTCATCCTCGTCCTCGTCGTCGTCGTCGTCGTCGTCGTCGTCGTCATGATGATGATGATGATGATGGTGATGATGATGATGATCATCGCCATCGCCATCGCCATCGCCATCGCCATCCTCATCATCCTCATCATCCTCATCATCCTCATCAGCAGCACCACCACCACCACCATCACCATCACCATCACCATCACCATCACCATCACCATCACCATCACCATCACCATCACCATCACCATCACCATCACTATCATCATCATCATCATCATCATCACCATCACCATCACCATCACAATCGTCATCGTCATCGTCATCATATGATCACCGGTGGCTGTCATGATTGTCCTAACTTTCACCGCTTTTACCACTCTGCCCTATCGTCGGAGCCTTTTTGCTTGCTCGTCTAGACCTTTGCATTCTAACCCTCAGCCACCCAGCGATCCGAGAAGGTGAAAAGGGCAAGCACTGGGAGCTCGCTGTTGCCTACCTCACTTCGCTTCAAGATGCCACCTTTGAGGCCGATGAAGCAGTCCCCACTCGTACTCCTGCCAAACACTGCGTTCAGCGTGCGCTTGTAGATCCACAGAGACGGAGAAACGAGCCCCGCGCAGAGAATCCCCCACGGTCCACTTCGCCGAAACCAGGCGAACGAGATCTCCTACAACGCCGCCATCAGCGCTTGCGAGAAGGGCGAGCAGTGGCAGCAGGCGCAAGTTTAATTAAGCCTCACAAAAACAAGATTTCTTCAGTACGATAGGCTGCGACTCCAAAGTCGCTTAAATGCTATGTGCAATGACGCTTCAAGCACATCTTCTTCGCAGAGGGTGTGTTTCAGGTGTTCACGCCATGACGACGGCCGAATGATCGAACGCCTTTAAACCCCTGATCGTCATTCGGACAGGGTCTGGAGCTTCACTCCCATGCGCTAGCATCCCAAGGGTCCAACACCGAGACTTCGTGAACAAGCTGGAACCCTGCAAGCGGAAACCGAAACAACAGTCTCATTCCGACTGCCATCGCCGTCGTGCCCGTGTTGCCATCGCCATCACTTGTCGGACACCGAGAACCATCACTTGGTGGCTCCCTGCTAATCTTTAGATCATTCGTTTTGTGCTCCCTTTCCAACTTCAGTCTTTGATGATCAAAAGTTTTTGTCTTTATGCAGAATCTCCGCCCGGTCATCGTCCAGCATTCGTGTGCAGCGGGATTCCAAGTGGACGGTATACTGCATTTTTGAGGACAGGCGTTGAAGGCTTTGCAGACAGCAAACAGCTACCTCAACCTCAAGGCCACACCCCTGCCCGCATTCAAAAGCAGTTCGTGCAGAATGTCTTAGTCGCCACAGGCCCTGGCATTGTTTGCGGAGGCATGGGTGGCGACTGTGCGCAAGGATGCATCTCGGCGGTAGTTCTACCTTGCTTGGGGTTCGAGGATCCGTACCACAGAACCCCAGCCAACCCATCCGATTTGAATGTAGCCTGACACTAAAGCTGTCGAAACTACTCCATGAACCCGTTGCGTCAAGTTTACAGATTCTGAGGCTTGAGCAGAGTCCCTACTGTAGCCCTAGGTCATCACCTTCAATGCGACTTTGAGCGCCTGCGAGAAGTGCGGGCAGTGGCAGCCCGCCTTGGTGCTGCTGCAGGAGGTGGAGCAGGCCAGGAGCTGGGGCACCTTCTGCAGGAACACGGGCTTCGGGGGCATTTCTGCCGGCGCTCTTGCTAGCAATTTGGATAGCTCAGACCCGAAACCGCTGGGTGGCACAGGCCCGCCTGGAGAGAGGAACCATTGCCTTCAATGCGGCCCTGAGCGCGTGTGGCCGAGGCGCCGGCTCGAGGTTGTCTGCCTAGGGCCTTCATCCCAAGTGCACTTCGACGGCTGTGGACACATGAGCAGACATCTGCGCCGTTAGCTCCGGATCCGGTGACGGAATCGGAGGTCAATGTATGCCGGATGAATCAATGCTGTTGAGGCGAAGCGTGGGGGCATGCCGTTGCGCTGTTGGCAGAGCTGCAGGCACTTAGCAAGGGCAGGGGCTCTTGCAGTCATGATTGCTTGAATATGGTCTAGAGGCCGTTCTTCGACCCGGGGCATGTGCGATGG